CTTCAACAATTGGTTGGCTTATATATAATAAATTAAAAAGCGATAAATGTGTTATTGGTCCTCTGGTAAAGGGAAATCAAAAATATTTCAATGATTGCATTACCTTCCTCGTCCTAACAATGTGCAGTATGGTGTGTCCCAGAGCAAATATATTGAAAAGCATCAGTAGAGCAACGGGCAGAACAAACGCGTAAAGAATGGCCTGACGCCTCGATATGAAACACGCCGCTTCCCCTTGCCCTGTTAAAAAAATCAGGGTATATAATTATATTAGCTATGTTTTGCATGTATTTGACCTTCCTTCTGAAGTTACTGAAGCTCAACAGTTTGAAAATCAATTTCAATCTGTTTTTACCCAGTTTTCTACAGTTTTGCCTATCGGTGCTATATTTTATAATTACTGTCGTGTTATTCAAAGCTTCCTTCATTATTTTCAGCCGTTATTTTTATTTTCGAACTTGCTCAACTTCAATTTAAGAAGAAATGACCAGAGTAGATAAGGAATTGGAGCTTTTAATGTGTGTAAAACTTTGAAAAACTTTAAGGCCTGTTTAACCACGTTTCTAAGTCGCATACATGCACGTATAACACAATATTTTTTTAAGTTCACTTACCGTAACCAAAATATCCTTCATTAAGACGACGATCAATTAGCACAGTCAGGGAGACAACGACTGCCGGAACAAGCCAGGCATATAAGCAATATTTTACAAGACGTTTGTTGTTGTCAGCGTGGTGATTTGAGGCAACTCCATCTGCATGAGAAACGGATAAAACTTGTTAAAAGGTCGGAAAAATCAACATTATGTATATGCTGGGCGCTGATACTTATGAAACATAAAGCAGTTAAAACACTCAATCAAAATTTGGTCATTGAGAGCCTTTTCCAGAAAATCTGTTTGTTTAGGAATCGCGTTATAATACTAAGAACTCTGCTAAGAATTTAGGCGTGCTTTTTAAGACTGATCTGAGGTTAAGTGAAGCTATACACTGAGTAGAAATCTTTGGTACACATGAGTGACAATTACTTAAATTCCGGTAGGGATGATTATTTTGATTACACTACCGTAATAAGTATAGGAAAACTTACCAGAAGCGGTGAAAATTCGATGCACGTCATAAGCCATAACGTTCATCCAGGTAAAAGAGCACAAAGTCAGAAAGTGAAGAAGAATTGCAGCGACAAGGCATTGCACGTCATTAGAAGTTTTGTTCGCTAGGAAAAAGAGGCTTTGATAGAGAAGCAGAGATATGGCCAAGTTTATTATGATTTTTCCAGGTAAGTTGCGCAGCTCGGAAAACACTACGTACGTTAACAGCAGAATAACAAGTGACAACATTGATATGCTGAAGCCGATCGTTGTTAAAACGCTCAAGGATGCTGGCGTTGTTTTGATTTCGTGAACGTTCCGTTCTTTTTTGTTAACTGTAGCATTCCTTGAAAAGTTTACACACAAAAGCAGCCGATCACCCTGTACCTTGTAAGATGAGTTGCTGTAGATCTTATTGTGAGATCTGATGTAAACGCTTCCATTGGGCTGCCTTTCGTAGTCACTTTTGTTGAAATATACAAAAGTGCAGTTTAAATTGAGCACCGCATTGTTGAGTGGGTGATTTTCATGGTTTGCACCGACTGAGACGATTTTCCTGCATTTTGCAGTATATGGATCGTATACTTCATCATGGGTGCATGACCACACATCTTCAAAGGAATGACGCATATTATGCTCCCTGTCATCCACTACAACACTAAACATTGAGGAGGAAGAAAAATCGAAAAGCACTGAGAGAGGAGGTGTCGCTGCTCCGCTTCCCGAAGCACATTCGATTTCAAGAGACCTTGGTTCAAATCCATTGCACAGAGCACACTGAGGGTTTCTGAATCGTGCAAGGTTATCTGATTCGACACAAGTTGGGAAAGCGTACCTTAGGCACTCTGTTTGACAGTACGAATCGTTCTTTGCCTGGCTAACACTTGCACATTCCCGAAAACGAGAAATGCACAGTTTCAAATGCCTCAGTTGAAACTCCTCTGGACTTGTTATGACTGAACATTTCTGTCGCAGAAAGTTCATGGTAGTACTCAAATTAGAAGCCGTGGTGTTAAACCATGTGTTGCATTGAAATTCCAGTCTCCAGTACGTCGTATCTGTAGCGCCATTACATTGTGCACAAAAGATATTTCTGTAGGTTACAAGACTGTCTTCGTGAAACACGGGCAGATTATTCAAAAGATCGCTTTGATCTTCATGCTGGCATTTTTGTCTCACCCTGCTTTCTTTCCAGTTTTCTGGACACCTACTCCACACTGCGTAGCCATGATATATTGCGCCTGTAGGGTGGTTTGGTCGAGCAAAGCAGTTTTCAGATGAGCTCAGTGGGCTTCTCTGAGGATTTACAACTTTTCTGCAACTTTAAAAAGGTGAGATTTTAACAACTGATGAATTAGAATTGTTTACTACTCAGGCTTCGTTTTTAATCAGTAACGTCTCAGATCTGACAATATATTTTTTTCCTTTCTTTCTATGAGACTAAATTCAAGAAACACAAAAAAATTGTTTCTGTTTCTTTGTCCCCGTAACATGGAAAGCGACACAATGTAAGCAGTTTGTGAGAAATCACATCATGGATATCAATTTATAAAGCAACAAAGTACAACATAAGAATGGAAGAAAAACTTACATAGCATTAAAGTCATAACAGCAGTCTCCAAATTCATCGCATAATTTATCGCAGTAACATCTAGATAAACGACGAAAAAAAGCTGCAGTAGATGCGTCTCGTTCGTCTTTTCCACAACGATTTCTGCAACTGTACTTTGGGAAGGAATTGTGTCTGATGAACTCGCGTTGTACAAAATCGCGGATATTGCTATCCCACTGGGGCCCTATCTGATCTGAATGTAAAATCATAATAAATACTTTAGAATGGTATCCCTTTCATGCTAAAGGGGGCCCAGGGGACGCGGGGTTGGGGGGGGGGGGATCTGGATTTCAAGTGACAGGGATGACCGAATGGGGCCAAATATCAAAACCCCAAAAAGTCCCACGCCAAATTTCTGAGCCTTAAAATCTCCAGAAAGGAAAACAAGTTTGGCTGAACTTTAAACGCAGAACTACGCGGCCGGGATACGAGAGAAGAACCACGAATCTTCAGATTATATCGACAGAATAGCCCAAATAATCCCTACTTATATCAAGCCATCAATAAAAATCCCGGAATCGAAGATTTCAAACCCCCCAAAATTCTTCGATCATCCCTGTCACTTGAAATCCGGAGTAATCACCCCCGGGAAAGGGGGCTTATATTGATAACAGTGCAAGGTGCATTGAGTGGCGCAAGGTTTGTGGTGTGGTGAAACCCTTTGCAAGAAATGCCCAAGTGTTTCTAGGAAACTAATCGGTTTGAGATTGACTGAAATGCTATTGTATAGACTATAGTGATTGATAGTATGGCGATGATGATTATGTCATCGCGTATATGATTGTTTACCATCTGTTGGGGCCTCGTCTGGGCTGCATTTCCGCCTCAACGAACTGATAAGGAAAGAATCAGGATCTGGTCCACTCGGAAAACTACCTGTCGTAACTAAACTGGTAGGGCTAGAAGTAGCTGTTCCTCTACCAGAGGTGAAGCTTGGAGGTCCAGCCGGCTGGACATCAGTTGGAATTGGAGATGGAGGCTGGATATCTGTTGGAATCGGCGATGGAGGCTGGCCTGCTGGAGGAAATCCTCCAGATGGAGGTCCCGGAGACTGAGCATCAGGCGGAATTGGTGATGGGGGCTGGACATCTGTTGGAATCGGCGATGGAGGCTGGCCTCCTGGAGGCAATCCTCCAGATGGAGGTCCCGGAGACTGAGCATCAGTCCGAATTGGTGATGGAGGCTGAACGTCAGTAATGGGTGCTGGAGGAGAGACACCTGGAGGTAGCCCTCCCCATGGAGGTGCTGGAGGTTGGCCAGTTAGAGGATGGCTTCCTGGAGGGAATTTTCCCGATGGAGGACCAAGATTCTGCCCATCAGTGGAAAAAGTAAATGGAGGATGGCCACCTGGAGGAAACCCTCCCGATGGTGGTGCAGGAGGTTGGCCAGTTGGAATTGGTGATGGAGGATGGCCCCCCGAAAGATCTGGCGATGGCGTCTGACCGTCAGTGGGTGATTGAATACCAGGAGTTTGGACCCCACCAGGTGCTTGCCCACCGGTTGAAGGCGAAGGAGTCTGCCCATCAGTTGGTAGTATTCCACCAGGAGGGTGTCCACCTGATGAGGATGGTGGTCCAGGGGTCCGTCCATAAGAAGTAGTTGATGCAGGCAGGGGAAGGGAAGTAGACACAAGCGTAGGAGTCTGGCCTAAACAGTGAGGAAATTTTGAGTCAAGAATCAGTTATTGTATATCAGTGATTTAGCATTAAACACAGGCGCTGGTTATAAAATGAAGGAGGAAATTCAAAAACTACACGAGATGCAGCCAAGTGCAGTATGAAGAATTTGGATTTCTTCTACGAAGGTGTGTTTATTTAATTTGGCTAAATGATGCTGGATTAAATTATGACATTAAATAATAACATTTGATATTTAAAAACGTCAGTTTGCATGAAAGCCAAAAAGTACGAGGATGCTGTGTGTTGTGAGGAATATCTAGAGCAAAATAAATCAATGTGGATCCGAAGTCAGGTTTTTAGAAATAAAATCACCTGTGCAAATTGGAAGGATGACAAATCTACCCGGGAACTCATTCGATTCAAATTCATTTGTTTCCGCAGGTCAATCTATTTAAGCGCTGACATAAAGATGGCCTCCTATAGGGAACTACATGATAGGGATCGCAGCGTTATTTTGCGTTCGCCGATTAATGGGCATATTTCGATGTCGGTTCATTTTAGTAGAAGCTGTCTGCTGAGTATGTCAGTCTGTCAACAACAACGTCATCAAATGCTTTATTTGCATGACCATAAAGGAATTACAGTATTGCAAAAGCTATTTGTCTAAATTTAAGCACTAATTCAACTAATTAGTACGTGCAAAACATAACAAAACGTTACAGTTCTCATTCATTCATTCATTCATTGATATTAATGTCAGTAGAGAATGTGGTGCAACCAGGTGTATCTCTTCAGTAATCACTTACTTTGGTGCTTGCTGTGGTCCTTCTCAATTTATTATTATTATTATTTTCAAAAAGAAATTTAACAGAAATGAAATGTAATTGTAACAGGTGAATTCTAAGCTTTTATCGTGTGCGCCATTGGATGAAAAAGCTCGGCCGACAGTTTTCAGTTTTGTAGCCGAGCACTGCGACTATTACTCTGTCAGTCGATTTGAAACACTTATTTTCCGGATTGAACACACTAGCAAAAATTTGTGTGCTAATTTTTCTCGCAATTCATTTGGCTGAAAAAAATTTTAAAGGAAACTGCTGTCAGAAATGTATAGGAGAAACAGCAAATATAGCAAGAATAACAAAAGTCAACAAGGATTGCACGCTGTAGTGACAGGGAGGCGAGCAGACAGTGCGTCATTGTGGAGAATCTTGTTAACGACTGAGCTTTAATGATTTTCATGATTACTCTAGATTTATATAGATCTCTGCAAAAAAGAAACCGAAATAAATTTTGATTTTTGTTTACTGTGAAAAGATTAAATTAAGCTTACCATAGATTGCAATTATTTAAAACCGAGAACTGAAATGTGTGGTCCTTTAGATGGAGATTTTCGATGGCTTACCAATTCGGAGACTTAAAATACGTACATTAAGTCCGGCTAATTACCGCATACTCGGCACTATGTAATACATCGCGATCGATACCTTCTGGAGGACTGAAGAATTTCTTTTCACTCTTCGGTATTCCACACTGTTAATTAATTACTAGATTTACCTGTAGTCTGGCATTCTACTTCTTTCCTTTGGTAAAACACCACCAGAAGTGAAACAACTGCTGCAATTTTGAGGCGAAGACGAAACCAAAGCATTCTGTATATAAACCTGTCAAGTTCAACAGTTGCATAAGGGAAAGCAGTGAAATCAGATTCACTTTTATTCCCATGCATTACAGACAGAATTCTGACGTCACAGTCAGAATGCTGTTTTAAGTTTGTTTTTTTGTACGTTTAAATATCAACTGCCCTATTGATGTGTGCCGCAGTGATAATTAAAAATCAATATCTTAACTTACACTATTTACTTTACGAAAGTTTAAAGAAAGGCGAAATTTAACACCAGACAGCAAAATCTGCCATAACTGACAAAGTTTTCGTTCAGCTGTTAATATACTTCTGTTACATCGATGTAAACGATTATTTGTTTGTATGGCAAAATTTGTCTTTCAATGGAGTTAAATCCTTAAGCAACACAGAGGGTAGTAAAAAGTAACAGTTTCATTTCATTTTAACTTTTTTACTGTTCCTAGTCAAAGTTCAATAACGCAGACCAATAAATTAAACTGTGTCAGCTGTGTATGCTAATTACCTCAGTATTGGCATTAACTGTGACAACATAAACTCATTTTATTACTTACTTTAGGTCTCCAATAAAATCAGCAATAACGATTTTCAAAATTAATCTTACCAACTGCACCAATAAAAAATTTGTGTTCCAAACTCGCCTATAAAGCTTCTCAAGCAAATGTGAGTGCAAGTAGTCCGATTGTATTATGAATCTTAGCAAATCTTAAAAAGTCACAGAGCTGTGACATTCAAATGCAATCTGACGAGCTAATTTTTGAAAGGTGCGTTTTTATGCTCTCCGTGTCGTGCTAAGCTTCAAATTATCAGAGACTGGGCGCTCCGGTTGATATGTTTCAAGAAACCGCAGGTGCATCTAGATGTAATTGAGGAAATCGGCTTAATTACACTTTGGTCCAATGAAACACCACCTATAGGATATGGTTACACTAGTCATTGAATTACAAACCGCCGAGTTTTAACAACCCTCAATTTCGAAGTAAGGCCAAGGGGAAAACCTTTCATGTGAAAATGAGTAATATCTGCATGAGAATATAAAATCGTTTCATATCAAAGGTTTAACACTTATAATTACTTGACCCAACTATGAATTAGAGAAATTAGAGAAGGTGCTCTGCGGCACAAATGAATGCAGTTTAATATTGAAAATTGTGTCAGCTTGGTAATTTCTGAACTAGAAAGGATTATTACCTCTTTTTTCGAGGGGGCTGAACCCAAAACAACGAGGATTCGGTTACAAGTTTCACGGTAATATCAGGTGCGATCAGAGGCTACTAACATTGTCCATTTAGAAAGCTCGACATAGCAAAAAACGAAAAATAAAACCACATGATTACGTTGTCGTCACTCTTAAAAATTCCTGAAGAATTCAACTCATTCTTTACTGATAACCGATATGCACAATGTAATAAAAGATGTTCATTGCGGTGTTTATGACACGCGTGTCTATAATTTGTCTAACGAGATAGGCCGGTTATCAACCGCGTACTGCTAGTAGTCATCAGGCATGCAACGCTGTCCGGCCATTTACTCAGTGGGACCATTAATGACACCGTTTTCGAGAAATTATTAGTAAATATATAAAATGTCGGAGACTTCTAGAGAACGGCCAATATAGTGAGTTTCTTTCCTCTCCCTCCCGCTATAACTAAATTCTTTACTATTTATCAACATGCAAACTGTTAGTTACTAATAAACTACAATGCTTGTATTTCAGATTAACACTGTGACACTCTGTCCTGTATTTGTAAAATCGTTGGTATAAATTCGCTTCGACTGGACTAGCACAAACCGATCAATGTACCCCTCAATAATAAGTTGAAAGTTGGAAGTTGACTGTATTTATCAATCCCTATTTCATTACTAAACCATACGAGCTGCTCTCTCAAGTACAGCTATAACCTCTACCTAACAAATGAGCTATACTTACAGACCCAGTTTACTTCAGTCA